TAATAGGAACTCTTAATGAAGTCTATACTCCATTTGGAGTGGAGTACCTAGCTACAGGAGTACTCTTGATAGATTCACCTACGTGAATGTGGAAGTTAGGCCGCTTCCTATGAATTGTGTGGCAGCATTTCTAGAGCGTTCACTATACTGGGATAGACGTGCATGGCCGTAATAGCACGGATCTATAACAACACCAAGAGTAGGTCGTGTGTGGTACGTTGTCAGAGATAGGGTTCAAAACTTGGAGTTACCTTTGTTAAATCTGAATCGTATTCACTACACAAAAGTTCAAGTTGAAAAACACTTCTGTTTATGCACAACCTATATGTGTAAGGATTCTGCTCGAAAATGTTTTCAAAAAATTCAAGTGGGGGATTGTTGAAACAAAGTGTGTTTTGGGTATGAATTTTGTGAAAATCACAAAGTCCTACATTGGTGGGAAATGAAAGTTTTTCCTTCTTTATAATGTAGAGTGTGGTATACTTGGGTGTGGCCCAAGGGCTACCCACATTTTTTGGAGAGGAAAGACTTACCTATCGAACCAACCAAACACACACACGCGCGCGCCGAACCGAGCCGAGCCGAGCCGAGCTGGCTGGCTGGCCGATATTAAACAAACTTAATTTTTGAACAAGGTTTAATTACGGAATATTGCCTTAATAATTCCATAATTAATGCCTTGATTGTTGCTGACGGTTTTGATTATTGCCGTATTAATTTATTCAGTTTTACAATCTTTCCGTTTATTATCTTACGGTTTTAAGCAGATTTTATTCTCACTTAATTATGTTAAAACGGTTGCTGCTTTAATGTTGTTTTTCAAATCTTTGCTTGAAACGTTCAAATCAGCTGGCCTATATATACGTCATTCTACAGCATTTTAAAATACAGAAAATTACTTTCTAATCTTCTTCCTCCTAAAATACAAAATTTGAGCAATTTTCTTATAGTTTTGGTGTTTAGTTTGTTCGGTGGTTCTGTGCAAATCCATCGGTATATATTTATTTCGAGGACTGTTTTATCCTGGGGAGCATGCGGTTGTGGTTTGATCTGTTTGCACAAATTAGAGGCAGTACCGTGAATGTTCTACAGAAAGCGACATAGTCCGCGACTCAGTCTTATTCCCGGTAACATTGTTCTTATTATTTTGTTCCTGCAGTTCCGTTTCTAACATCCTCTTTATTACCCCTACTTTACATTTTTTTTTTGTTTTTTTTTTTGTTTTTGTTTTTTTTTTTTTTTTTTTTTTCCATTGAAACATGCTCAGAACTATCCATTGAAAGAACTGCTATATGGTAGCCTTCAAAGCGCCGCCTCCTTCGCGAAAATTACCTCCATAGTCACCTCCTCCATTAAAGCGACTAGTGAGCTTTGTCTTCTTCGTCAAAGTATAATCTCGATTCTCCATTGAAGTAGCGTCTCTGATTTCTCTCTCCTCCATTGAAGCGGTGTGAGCTTTCTCTCTCCTCCATTGAACCGACGTGTGTAAGATTTTTTTCTCCTCTATTGAAACAGCGTGTGAGCTTTCTCTCTCCTCCATTGAACCGGCTTGTAGGCTATGTCTCTTCCATTGAAGAAGCTTTTGGGCTTTGACGAACTTAGCAGGAGCTTCAATGGTTTAAGGGTGTGGCTTGAGGAGTATCCTCAAGAAGTTTGTAACAGTGTTCTAGCTGATTTGGAGTCTTTTACTCCTTAATAATATGAGATTGCGTCACGTAAAAAAAATGACTAATATAAAATAAGAATGTTTTACAAGTTGCTTTTTAAACCCTCAAATCATTCAAAAAAACTTAGTTAATAACCTAATAAATAGATTACACATTTAAAACCAAAAAACATGTACTATCACTAATTTTTAATGCAATGCAATTTATCAACATGTACGTTTATTAATTAATCTACATTTATTCATAATTACCTAAAAAAACCATACAAATTAGCCAAAAGAAATCAAACTTCCGGTCTCACACACTAGCAACACCACATTGCTTCGTGCGCAACGCTGCCCTAGTTAACTAAAAAATCCCAACACCTCTCCCTACCAGCTAAACCACCACTACAACAAATCATCACTTGTGCCACGCATTATGCCATGGGAATTCCAAATTCATGGCATAATTTCATCTAGCCACGGGAAAAATAAACTATGATACAAAACCTAAATAAGAAGAATTATTTATGCCACGGGTATTTAAAATCTCGTGGCAAATATCTCACCTGTGCCACGAGTAGCGCTTTTCTCGTGGCAAACTTTACATTGGTGCCACGATTAGCTCTTTTCCCGTGGCAAACTTTACATTTGTGCCACGATTAGTTTTTTTTTCTATGGCAAATTTACTCTAGTGTCACAAGTAATAAATTTTCCGTTACAAGCATACTCTTATGCCCCGATTTTGGCTACAATATAAAACTTTTTTAGCTAAATTTACTCGTGTCAGGGAAAAGGAGGAAATCATATCATACAATAAATTTACTACACAATTACAAAAATGAGATTAAAGATCGCAAAATAAAGAACTGTTAACAAAGACATACGTTTGCTACAAAAATATCGAACGTATTTGTGTTGGAGGCATTCTACGATTCAATAAATATCGAACGGTTAGCATAGTTAACCGTTCTCCATTATTATTATTTACTCTAATAAGGAAAAAAATTCAAATAATTATTGTATATAATACAAAATGGTTATCTTACAACCATTTAGCATGCTTTTTTTTTTTTTTTTTTTGTTTTTTGTTTTGAAAGAATTTAGCATGTTTTTTTATTTGTATTTTATTTTTATTTGGAGGCCAGGTTAGTAGATTTAGTTACCTCTTTTACTTATTATTATTACTCAGGGGCGTTTGGTTGGGGGGTTTAAACAAAGGGAAAGGGAATGAATCCCTTTGTTGTCGTTTGCCAACGACATTCTTTCATTCCCTTTCCCCTTTTTTATTTTTGGGTTTACCCAAAATTAGTCCAGGCCACCCCCATTCCCCACCCCCCTACCTTTACCATTCCCTTTCCCCAACCACCACCATACCCACATCCCACCAACCTCGCCGGACTGCAGTCACACCTCGCCAGATGATCGCCGGCTCTCCCCGACCTTCGATCCACCTTCACCGGCTCTCCCCTGACCTCGCTGTACCTCCCCCGACCTCGCTCCACCTTCGCCGGCTCTCCCCTGACCTCGCTCCACCTTCGCCGACTCTCCCCCGACCTTGATCCACCCTCCCCTAACCTCGTTGGTCGCCACTGGAATTCCAAACAACCAAATTCTAGAAAAAAAAGTCAAAAAATACCCTAAATGGTGGTGCTTTGGTGGTGGTTCTATATATGGAATCATTCCCTTTGTTTTTTTTTTAACAAACAACACCCTAAATTTCAAGGGTTTCATTCCATTCTCCTCCATACCCTTTCCCCATTGCATTCCAATTCCACTTTGCGAACCAAACGACCCCTCATTATTTTTGGAGTACTTCTTATTATTTCCTTTAAAAAAAAAACAAAATCACATTTTAACTCAAGATAAAACGTCAGTTGTTTAATGGAAAAATTGCATTAAATAACACCACCTTTCACCCGTGCGCTAAAAACAAGTCGACCTTTTGATTATCTCTAAATAATACCACATTTGGGGGTGTCCGCTTTAAACAAGTTATTTTACCTATAACCTGAATAACCGGTTATATACTTTTTTTCTTTTTAATAAATTCATTTAACAATGTAATTAACTCTTAATAACAACTTTAATTATGATTTATTAGCAATTAAATCAAAAACCAAAATAAAAAAAACAAAAAAAAAGAAATCAACCCCCTCCTCCTTCCCCCCGACCTCCACCTGAACCAGCCCCCACTACCCTCGGTACCCCTTGTAGCCACCTCTTCCCCGTTGGAGCAAGCCCCCCTTCCCCGCTGGCTGACCGATCCCCACTCCACTTGCTTCCTTGCCGCCGTCCTTTCCTTTCCACCATTGAAAGCGATTTGGTTTAGGGGTTTGGTTTGGGGTTCTAGGTTCAGTTTTGGGGTGAGGTTTGGGGTCATGCCTTCATGGTGAAGATGAGGCTGTGAGGAAACTGATGGTGTTTAAGGGTTAGGGGTGGCTGTATTGGGTGGGGGGAAGGGGAGGGGGGTCGACTCAGGGTGGGGGAAGGGGAGGGGGCCGATTCCGGTGGGGGGGAATTGGGCAATTTTTTTTGAAGAACCCTAAGTAAAATCGAAGTGGGGGTTATCATTTGGTGATGTTACTTGCATTAATCTTGGTACCAAACTATTGTATTTTGTAATATGAGCGTTTTGATACCAATTTTATGCGTTTTGGTGAAGAAATGAGCATGTTTCCATTTTGTCCTCAAGCTTATACATGAGCTTCAATGGAGTTTCCTCCATTGTTGTCTCTACAAGCTTTTAAAGTTTTTCAGCTTCAATGGTGGTGGCTGGGCTGCCGGTACGACTCGAATACAAGGGCAAGCAAAGTTGGGGTAAGGGGAAAGGGGTGGTACGGCCGGTGGTGGTGGAGCTGGGCGTCGCCCGTACCATCGCCGGTGGAGTCGTTGCGTGTGGGGGAGGGGGAGAGGAGGTGGCTGGGTCGTGGGGGAGGGGGATGGGGATGGGGATGTGTGGTTTTTTTAAAAATTAATAATAATAATAATTTTTAAAAAGTTAAAAACATTAAAAAAAAAAGAATTATATTTTCAGACCAATATAATGATGACACGTGTCCATAGAGATAATCAAAAGGTCGACTTGTTTTTAGCAGACGGGTGAAAGGTGATATTATTTAATGCAATTTTTCCATTGTTTAATTCCATAAGCTATGCACCGATTACTCCTCCATCGCTTCTCTATTGCTGCATCGCTGTACCATTCACCATTGCCGCACCGGTCCGCTGCGCCACCATTGCACCGCTCCGCTGCGCCGCCACAGCACCGCTATACCGTCGTACATTCCGTTTCGCCGCCACTGCACCATCTAGGTGGGCTGTTGATATTTTCTTCTACAATAATTTGTTTCGGGTGAATTTTTCAATCTAATTGCAGTATTTATTCATTCGAGTTATTCAATTAAACTGTACTTAAAATTCAATCATAAAATTCATCAATTACAGTTTTTTTTGATTTGAATTTTAGGTGAATTAAAAAAATTCAAAGTTTTAGTTTTAGCGATATAATTCAATCGATTTTTTTTATGCAAATTATTGAATCGAATTGCAATATTTTGAATCAAATTACACTTAATGTATTTGAATTACTTTATTTCAGTATTAATCAAAATGATTCTAACCAAATTAATCTTACCTAGGTCAAATTTAGAACCCTAATTAGATAAAGATAGAGGGATTGGGGGAATTGATTACCACTGGATTATTGGTTTGACTATTGTGTATGCATGGGATCAGTTTATTTCAATACTTTGCAAGCTATTATTGATTTGACTATTATGTATGTTGTTCAGCTAATTTATTTCAATAGTCTTGTTTCTTGATATGTTGTATTTGTGCTTCCATGCATTAACTTTCTATCATGTACATGCCTATTCTCATATATGTTCAAAATCCCCAATTATGCTTTTCATCACTGCAGTAGCCTTGACCTACAACATCATATTCCATTTCCATTTTTTCTACTCTGTATAAATTTCTTACACTCAACTGACTTGAGGAAACAGAACTAAAGTACTGTGATTTTTAACAAATTGTGGTTTTCCCTTTAGTTCTATCCTAAGGGTGAAGTGACTATATATCTACTAATGTTGCAAATCATTACTATTATAGTTTGCAGCCTGATCTTAAATTGTAGAACTACTACAATAGAAAACACATGAGTGGAGGGTTCTTGGGGTTCCTCCAAACAAACAATTGAAACTTTTAAACCAACTGACACTTCTTTTAAGCGTATGATATACATTTATGGAGATAATCAGAATGTGAGTTTAGTCTTACTTACAATCTATACATGTAGTATTTTTATTCAGCCTACTTTTTAGTGATTATTGTTTATCTATCGATTTGCTTCAAAATAGTTCTTTTATGTTTGTTGGTGGGTTAGTGAGAATATAACCTTTTGTGAGTTGGTTTGGTATTTCTTTTAATGATTTAATAAGTGGCTGTAATTTAAATTCGTTTCTTAAGGTCTGTACTGATCAAATTCTTATAGCAAAGAAATGAATTTGTTGGTTTGTTGCTGAAGTTTGACTTTAGGTGAATAAGGTTTGATGGTTCTTAAAAAAAAGTTTATTTTGTAGCAATAGTTATCGTTCGATCAATGCAATTCAAGTGACTATGAATAAAAACCCCTATATAAAGACTCTTTAACAAGATATATGTTTAATATGCTCATCTTAATTTTTTAATTGATATACTTCTTATTAACTACTCCCTCCGTTTTTAAATACTTGCTCCATTTTCCATTTACGGCCGTTTTTAAGTACTTGCTTCATTTCCCTTATTTGGAAAGCTTTTACAATATTTAATTCATATCTCTCAACTAATGGACCCAACATATATCGTATTTTATTAATTTCATATTCTCTCTCCTCCAATTCTCTCAACTACGTTTGTTTTTTATAGTTTTTATTCTTTTACCTACTCCACTACCTCCATATTTTATTACTTTGTCCAATTTCTCTTAAAACTCCACGCATGGAGAAATAGAGCAAGTATTTAAAAACGGAGGGAGTATAATAACCTATTTTTTATCTGGCCTCTTTAAGTGCTCCAGGGACTCTTTAGCTTTTTTTTTTTTTTTTTATGAATCCTGATTGTGATCTCTGGATGCTCAATATCATCAGAATTTGCTACATGTTTGCTGCTGCACACTCAAAATTAAAACATTAACTCATCTGCAAAGTTGCTTTAGTTTTTAAGTACTTTTCTTTTTCAAATGGCCTATGTGCTTATGCAATTTCGTGAAGTTTCTTGAGTAGTCTTGTTGATTATGGTAAGCCATTTACATATCATATTTGTTGGGTTAATTAGAACACTAGTAGAAAAAGTTAAATGGGCACCGCCAAATGCGCACCGGTTTTTAAAAACCGGTGTGAAAAAAAATAGGTGGGATTGAGGGAAAGAGTTTTCGCACCGGTTCTAACAAAACCGGTGCGATATCTATTGTTAAATAAAAAAAAAAACCGGTCAATCTTCTTTCTTTCTCTTTCATTTCCTCGATTTTTCCTCCTCTCTCATTTGCCTCTCTCTCCTCTCCCTCTCCTCCATTGATGCGTACTTGAAATTCTCCATTGATGCGTACTCGAAATTCTCCATTGAAGCGTACACGATCTTTCCTTCTTTCTATTTCCCCTCTTCGTTCTTTGGGTTTCCCCTTTTGGTTCTTTCTGTTTCCCCTCTTCCTTCTTATCTCTCTCTTCTCTCTCCTCTCTCCTCAAACAAACCCTACTCTACTGAAGAAATCGGCCTTGAACGACCTGCTGCCCTTTTGAAAACCGGCGTCAATTCGAACCAAGGACAACCATCATCGCCGCCGCCGTCTATTTCTTGAATCTACAATATTGGAGGTTAGGGTTTATGGGTGCGTCTATTTTGAATCAATTTGATGTGCGTGCGTCTTCAACAAGCACAAATTCGAATCAATTTCGAACCAAAAATCAGAAATTCGAGGTTAGGGTTTTTGGGTTAATAACTTTTTTTTATTTTTAATTCATGTTTTTCTGCTATTAGTGTTGTTTAACCCTAATTAAATTATTTTCTCAAGGTTAGGATTCGTTTATGTAATATTCGTTCTTTTAATTAAAATATTGTTTCTAAGTATTACTCATAAACTCGTTAATTTTAGTTTGTAATTTTGCATTGGACCATCTTATTTTATTGAACAAGTAAACTAAAATTCCGTATTTCATGATTATTTTCATCTGTTTTTTTAGTTGTACCATTTATGAAGTATGAGATATGACCAATGAAATTTATATGGTAAAAAGCTAACAATTTGTATTTCTGAATTCTAATATACGTTGTATATTTCTAGAGTTGATTGATTCTAGAGTTTCAAATTTTATGAAGAATTTCAGTTATAGTTGCTTTGGACTTTGGAATGTGACAATAACTTCTAAAAATTATTTGTATTAGTGATTGTTAGAATTTGTTTTCTTGTACCTTGATAATTATATATAGATTGAAGTTATGGTTTTTCGAATGTACCAAGTGTCTAAGTAATACGGTATTTGATACATATACTCCTTTCGTTCTTCAGGTTATGTTGTTTAGTTAGTTTGGTTCACAAGCATATATGTAATATGTATAGCTTTTGTTAATCATTTTTCGTCTATGATACAATTATGTTGTTTTTTGTTGTTGTTGTTGTTGTTCGTTCTTGTCAAGTCTGAAGTTTGTTGTTTTTTCTTCTTCTAAAGTACGAGAGTCATGATGAAAGACTGTTTGCCACGTATTGCGATAGTGAACTCTGATCGTTGCAAGCCCAAAAACTGCAGTCTGGAGTGTAAAAAGAGTTGTCCTGTTCAGACAGGTATGCAATTGTTTTTGTGTAAACCAATTTTCATTTGTTCATGATGCATTCATTTGCTCACACTTGTGTAATAAACATGTTTATGTGTACTGAGTCCTTTTTCTCAAGGAAATATTTGCTTTGCGAACAATATGATCTATCTGTGCCCCACCAGGATCTGATTAGCCTTTCTCAATTTCAGGGAAACAATACAGGTCATTACTTCTATAAACTGTGCTATTTAGTACTTATCATTGTTTACACTCACTCATACACTTACATTCTCACATGCACATGATGTATTATGGTTGTTCAGCGCGCCTAATTATTACTTTGTTTTGATTGTGGATTAATGGATGCAGAAATGCCCTTTTGGAGCAATTCAGATCATTAATCTTCCAAAAGATTGGAACAAAGATACAACACATCGTTATGGCCCCAACACTTTCAAATTACATAGGTTAGTTGATTGCTTTGTGGTGTGTTGAAGATGAATCCTTATGATTTTTTTGAGGTCTTAATCGTAGTGTTTCTTAATTACAGGTTACCTGTTCCAAGACCAGGACAAGTTCTTGGCCTAGTGGGAACAAATGGTATTGGAAAGACTACTGCTCTCAAAGTTTTGGCTGGAAAATTGAAGCCCAATTTGGGGAGATTTGATGTAATATGCTTAATTTTGATGACTGTTTGAGTTTTTGTTATTGCTTCCTGGTATCTTTTGCCTATTTACAGAATATACTTATACTGTATGTTTTTCTGCAGAATCCGCCTAACTGGCAGGAAATCTTAACTTATTTCCGCGGATCAGAACTGCAAAAGTATTTTATGCGCATATTGGAAGATAATCTGAAGGTAGCTATACCCTCTAGATTCATTGTACTTCTAGTTCTTTCTTACACCAAAAAATATTCTGAGTCAGTATTTACTTACTGAGTCAGTGAGTCCGTTTCGTGATGGTGTCATTGATTATAACATGCAAAAGCACTTGAATGAAAAATACTACCTCCATCCCGGAACAATCAAATCAGTTTGACCAGTGCAAGATTTTACGCAAAACAGTTTACTTTTTATTTTATTGTGTGTAAGTTGGTAGTGGAGTATTTCTTAAAATTCTTTATTATAGTTAGCGGGAAGTGGATCATTGCTTTTTGAGGGATGTGAGTGAGTATATTATTATTTTAACTTTATTTTAGATAATACGTAATAGTAAATAAAGTGGTCTCAGCATAGAAGTAATAAAAAAATAGTGGGTCTTTTCCTTTTATAGAAGTATTGCAGGTACTAGGAAGGTTGATAAGCTACTGCTATGGCTGATGTCAGCTTGTGAAATAGGCTGTCTAGTGCTTTTGCTGCATGGAAAATTTTGTTAAGTATTGTGCTTTTCATATAAGTATTTAGTTTCTTTTGCACCATCACAGTTACATATCTTATTCTGAGTCATTGCTGAAAAGAATATGATTGGCTGGGTCTCTGGATTAGAAAGGTGTAAATTGCTTTAATATTAATTGCTTTTGCATTGAGTATTTGATTCTTTACAGAGTGGTTGAATGAAACAAAGGTTCCGTCCCAATATGATCGTTTTCTCCAAGGAAATAAACCTCCAATTGGGCTTGGCTTGCATATTTTAACTTTTGGGCCTTTTGTAGTTATCTTGTGTTGCTTACTCTTGCCTACATCAGTGGGCTGATAAATTTGTTCATTACTCAGATTTTCTGTCAGCCCCTTTTCTTGTTCCTCAATCTAGGTTTTTATAATCAGCATAAGTATCGCTATTTCTTTCTAATATTGAATCTCCCTAATTGTTGGAAAAGTGTGGTTAGTTAGCTATGGCAAGGTAAGAAATCTGCTATCTACTAGGTTTATTCTTGGGTACAATGTGATTTTCATCATAGCATTAAGCGTTTCTCTGAAACATGAAAGAAATTACATCAATCATTGTATTTTTCATCATTTCAGTGCACAAGATTCATCTATGTCTCCAAAGACTTGTATCAGTCCCGTGGTTGGAAAATCTGCAGGAACTAAGGATCACAAGAAATTGAAGATAAGGTATGGATCATACATTCAGCTTTATTCCAAGTTTGCATCTTTAAAAAATTCATACATTTTGCTGTGATGTCTATGAATATGATTTGTTGTATCAATTTGAAGTAATTGTTTGGATCTGATTCTTTAAAATCGTTTATCGGTGTGATTAACTCATATTACAGTAAGTCTTGGTGTGTGATTTGATTTGTTTCCCTTAATAGCATGGATCTCATCTAATTTGTCAAATTAGGTCATTTAAACTAGCCTTGTCTCCGAAGCCTTCACCTGGAAATGCTTGTGCAAAAGTTAAAACGAGGTACATGTTTGAATTCCCTTCAAGGATAAGTGAAATCATCCCTGCAGGGTTTTGATTGATTTGTTTTTGACTCGAAATATTTTCATCTTGTTTGTTTAGGTTAAGAGAAGAAGTTCTAACACCCAGGCCTTCTAAAACTCCCACTGCTCTTAAATCTTCAGAGAAGAAGACTAGTAGGAAAATTACAAGAAAGTATGTTCCCTCTCCTTTTTCTTGCTAATTTATATTGTTGTAGGTCTCAGACTCTCAGTTAGAACCGCCATGCTTGATGTTTTGTATGAGTAATTGTCATATCTCTTTAAATCACTAGCAGTTATATCTATATGAGCTCAACTGTGATGTTTTATGTTTTGTTTTCATGCGCTGATTATTATACTTTTTTGTTATTCATTTGTCTTTTATGTTCAGAGATCTTCGGCTGCATAAGTTGGTTTTTGAAGATGATGTATTGCCTGATGGAACTGTGCTTGGCTATTATGCTAGAGGGCAGGTTAGTGTAAATTGGGATCAGTTTTAGACTTCCGAATATTGTTGCAATTTTTCTAAGTTTATTGGTATATAGTTTCTTTTTTTTTTTTTTTTTTTTTTTTTTTTTTTTTTTTTATAAATTGTGCAGAAATTACTGGAGGGCTCCAAAAAGGGTTCTGGAATCCTTTGTAATTGCTGTGATACGGTGGTGCGTTGTCTGCCTTTAATTTGACCTTCAATATTGTCATTTTCTTTGAAGCTTGTTTTTTCACATGAAATATTATTCAGGTTAGTGCTTCGCAATTTGAGGCACATGCTGGTTGTGCTTCACGCAGAAAACCGTAAGTTTTATTATAGCATTTTGTGGCTTCTCATTTGGAGTTGTATTGTGTTTTTGCTCAACCCTTTATCCTTGTGAATGATGACAGGTATTGCTATATATACACATCTAATGGGGTCTCACTGCATGAGTTATCGGTAACCCTAATTAAAGATCGTTGTCATTCTGCCAAGTACAATGATGACCTGACAGAAGTTTATGAACAAGCGGAGCACTTTGGGCAGATTGTATAGGCTCCATACATTGAAGAGCATGAGTTCTATCAGGACAGAAACAATTGAATTGACTATTAGGCTCATCAAAGTCACACTGCCCTCCAGATTTCTGCATGTTGATTCAGCCAGCAGTACAAACCAGCAATGGCATCAGCAACACACAACCAGCAGCATAACCAAAGCAGCAACAACAGTACAGCAGCAGCACCACAAGAGAAAAACAAACAGCAGCTAGCAACCCACCCAGCACCCCACAACAACTCATCCATCACCATGAATGCATTTATGAACAAATTAAAGAGTAATTTCATATACATAATTTTATTTTATATTTTTGGACGAAAATTGTAATATTACGTCTTTTTTTTTTTAATGAAAATATGTAATTATATATATATATATGTTATATGTATATATATATATATATATATATATATATATATTTTTTTTTTGGGCATTTTTGGCACCGGTTTTGGAAAAGAACCGGTGCTAAAAGTTTTAAAAAAAAATCTTTTTGGGGACTTTTGGCACCGCTTCTATGACAAAACCGGTGCGAAAAGTGTGGTTTTTAGCACCGGTTTTCACCCAGAACTGGTGCCAAAAGTCTGATTAAACCGGTGCGAAATGTCTGGGGTTTTAGCACCCCCCAAATCAGGACCGGTTCATAACCGGTGCTAAATGGGGGTTTTGAACCGGTGCGGATTACGTGTTTTCGCCTAGTGGAGGTTTCTTTCTCTTTTGGGTGTGGATGCATTTTGCTTTTGTTCTGACCCTTTAAATACTGAGGTTTATGTCTCGTTGTTTCTAATCTTAGCTTATAACTTTTTGAGCTTAATTATAATCATTTGTATGTACTTGAAGGCATTCTGATTTGCGCTACTTTTCATTATAGGAGAGGAAATGGTGTTCGTGGTTGTATAAGTTGTGCCGGAGAAACCACGCATGGGCTTTAACATTGAAGGATTTCTTCTTCTTAAATCAGATTGTACTGAAACGTTTTGAACTTGGTTGTACGTTTCTTGTCTTATGAAGGGTTCTATTTGTCAGTGAAGGTTTCTATGCATATTATTGTGTTTATATAGATAAATCATATAGAGCATCATACTTGCCTTGTTGTTTCTAGTCTTTATATATGAACCTTGATCTGTGTCAGAGGGTTGAATTTGGGTTATAAAAAGGCTATTTTTTTCGATATGTAGCATTAGTTCTGGCTCTTATTTTTCGGTAATCCATGCTAGTCTTGAAACAGGTGTATTTGCTGAAATCATACTTTAGAGAAACTCAAAGCCAATCTTTTTTGTTTGGAAGTGTATTTTGGACTTTCTTTCTTAGTGTACTATACTTTGCTACATCAACTCATACTTACTTTAGTGTATGCAAATGTTCTTCTAAAATTACAGGGAATCAAATTTTGGACTTATGATGACATTATCTCATAACAAGAAAGCGCCAAAGTGCTTGTTGGTTGAAATTGAAGAAGTTCGTGTTGTCAAGAGTGCTTGTCGGAGAAAGCAAGGTGTTTTAGATGCTCCAAGGTTTGCCACTGCTGCTATAGTTGTGCATTGCTGCTGCTCTTTGCTGGACACTGCTTCTGCTTTGCTGATTGTTGCTGCTCCAATTGTAGTGTACTCTAATTGACTAATTGTATTTTATTTATATTTTTGGATGAAAAGTGTAAATTTTCAAGATATTAATGAAAATATCTAAGTTTTATGTGTATGTATGTATTATGTCAGTTGATCAATTTGCCTTTTTGCTTTTTTATACCAGTGTTTTGTCACAGTAATATTTATGGCAACAGTGTTTATTAGCCGCAGTTGTATTTATTGCAAACAAGCTTATTAGCCACAGTAATATTTGTGGCAACAATGTTTATTAGCCACGGAAGAATTTGTGGCAAATAATTTGTTAGCCACATTAATAATTGTGGCAAATGAATTTGTTTGCCATGTGAATACTAGTGGCAAAAAAATTAAAATTTGCCACTACATTCATTTTCCCGTGGTAAATTTCTAGCCACGGGAGTAAATTTCTAACACAAAGGTCAATTTGTTGTAGTGCACTCTCGGTCCCCACTCCTACTGACAACTGGCCACTCCGGCGCCCAGCTCCCAACCTCCAACGCCGGCTGACCGATCCCCTCCCTTTCCCCTTTACTCCGCCACTTGACCACCCAGCCAAACCTTGTTTCGGAAGTTGGTTCATTTTATACATTGATATTATTATCACCAGATGAAAGTGTGGCATGTGCTGTAATAATGGTCTCAATCACTATGATTTGGATCACTATGATTTGGTTTAGCTGGGTGGTTGCGCGGCGGGAAAGAGGGAGGGTCGAGGTAAGGGGGAAAGGGAGGAAGTAGGTCGGCTGACGATGGACCTGGTGAAGCTGGGCGCCGACGTGGTCGAGAGGAGGAAGTACTAATGGCTCACGGTGAGCCGCAAGTATCATGCCTCACAAGAATAAAAAAAAAAGGGGGGAGAAAGGGAGAGAGAGATAGAAAGAGTGAAAAAAAGTGGTGTGAGACCCATCTTTTTTTTTTTTTGCAAACATGTATTCACGTGCATAAAGGATAAAAAAGAGTTGGGACCACTACCACTGGGAGTGTATATTGTACCATTAAACCTCAATTGGAATTTTTTGAAGTACCACTAAGAGTGTATTTTGTACTAATGAGAGTGTTTTTTGTACCACTAAAACTCCAGTGGTACTATTTGACAACTAGTGGAATATCTTTAAAAGTGCTGATTTTTATATTCTTGAGAGGCATTTCAAAAGCGGCTCACCGTAAGCCGTTTGGAATGCCTCGGGGCGAGAGTGGGGGGGCAAGGATAGTTGGGGCTGGTGGTGGTGGAGGAACGATGGAGGTGATTTATTTATTTTTACTTATTTTTAAATTTGTTAATTTTCTTATAATTATTTTGAGAAAATTTAGTTTTAAAATTATTAGTTTAATGTTAATTAGTAATTAATTAAAAGCAAATTGACATTAAAGTTCGGGTTATTAAAAAAAATCCAAAATTGGAATTATCTTGAACAAATGAGGCAAAGTTGAGATTATTCTAGTCAATTTTTCCTTTACAAAAGGGTCGAATTTAAGGTCAAAACATAAAACTTACCATAGAAGCCTATTTTACATACCATGAAACACGTTTGAGTCTGATTTGAAGTTTACAATTACCTAATTAATCAAATTGAAACGAATGACACGCAAAATGAGATAATTATGATATGTTTTTTTTAGCAAAGTTTCATCCTTAATGGGAATTAAATTGACTCCTGAAATCTTAATTGCATGATCTTTTCCCACATTTATCGCAGCACGCAAACTAAGGCATTTTTTGGCCACACAAAATGAGTCATTTTCAGTAGTTTTTTGTTAGTTTTGATCCCAAATCGTTCTCTTTAGATCCAAAATGACCACATAAACCTTAATTCAACATGTTTTCAGCACACAAATTGAGACTTTTTATAGGCTAGAAAGTGGCTATTCGACTATTCCGCACAAAAATTTTCCTTGGGTGGTGAAATCGATTTTTTTAAAGGCATTTTAAAATAGAATTTAAACAAGCGGTTGTTAAAATACAATTTCTCCAAATTTTTAGGAATTTTATTTCACATAAAGTTCGTAATAAATAAAAGAGAAATTATGATGGACATTAAGTACTCGATCCGTCCCTTTATTATTTCCCCCATTGTCATTTCTATTGTAAATAAGAGGGGTCTAATACAAAAAGTCAAAGGAAAGAAACAAGTAATATTAGTATAGAGGAAATTCGGCGTGGCGTGATAAATCATTACCTTGGAAAATGAATTCCAGTGCAATCTGGGTGCACAATTGTAATCGCCGGCTCGTTCCCTGTACACTACTCTCACACTAGACACTTTAGAGTAAGAGGTGGAGTCAAAGTAAACTTATGCCCAAAGAACAAATGTGTTTAGCTAATTTTGTGTATGTTGTACATCAAAGATGAAGAATAACCAAGCCAATTTTATAAGTAAGGATGAAGTTACAAAAGGATGAATCTAGCTAGACATCATAAAAAGTGATTAAATTAGAATAATGAAGGTGATTAAATTACCATAAACATCCACTTTAATGGGGGGTTACAAGAGAATCCAAGAGATGAAGGAAGAATGCCAAAAGATGAATGTATGTAGACATGAAAAAGTCTACTCCACAACCCATATGTGGGAAATCGTTGTTGGCCACAACCTATTTGTGGAGTAGGATGATTTTCTTATAGAATAGACATAAAAAAGTCTACTCCACTACCCACTTGTGGATAAATGTTGTAGGGCAGAACCTCCTTGTGAAGTAAACTAATAAAATACCAAAAAGCATGGTGTTTTTACTCTTTTTAATCCAATAATTTCTGGGTCTAACTTTGAAAATTTTGACTATAAATTATCATTAATCTATAAAAGAGAATATAATTATGTGAAATTTTATTAGATTTGTATCAAAAAGCATGGTGTTTTACTCTCTTTAGGAGCTCGATTGTTCATGCAAGCTAACCACTGTCGAAATATCCACACAAACGTATCGCAGTCTTCATGTGAAACAAGAGCACATCCTAACAACAACGATTGCCCATGGTGGTTCACACCAACAAAGTTCGCAAACGGGAGCTCGTACTCATACGTTAGGTATGTTGCGTCGAAGCAAACCGCGTCACCAAAGTCCTCATAAGCTACCCTACTTCTTGCATCCACCCACAACACATCCTTAAGCCTCCCTTCTTCATCCAAACGTTGAGCATGGAAAAAAATTTGGTTCCCGGTTTGCATTTTGTCAAAGTACTCCATCATTGCCACCGAGTCCACTCCAACCATCTTCAATCGCCTAGCCTTGTACACCTCATGTTGTAAATCTTTTACTGTCAGAGCCATGTTACCCTTTCGTTCGGTTGCCATGAAACCGTGTATTTGAGAAATTGGTACACCTTGCTCGTACAAATCTGTCAGCGTCTTCTTCACTTTGGAGGTCGTTTGCCTCATGCGGTACTCCTTAACAAGCTTAGAATTTGCCGGATCAATCTCGTGATTATGCTTTAGTTCCACGCTCTTCAACTCCCACAAGCCATCTTCGTTAACTTTAGCATAAACACGGGCCTCACATTCGCACTTTTTCGAAGTCCTCTTCATACCACTTAATTCATCCTCACATACCACCCCATCAACTAAACCACCTGAACCTCCATGACTCATTGCCTTTGCCCTCTTCTTCGCTTCCCTCCTAGCTCTCATGTCGGGTTTTCTCCAACACTCACACTTCCACGTGACTTTGATTTTTTTTTGGTCCCCCGTCTTAGAATTTACACCTTGAGCCTTGTCACTCCAAACCCCATCTACTCAGCATAGTCGTTATAGTAGGCTTCAACCTGTTGCCAAGACTGGAAAACCATCCCTTCCTTAGGCTCCTCAACAACTACAGCTATTTCGTTGCTACCAACCACAGTATGATTCGTATGAATTGTTTCCAGGGGGGATAAATACCTAACATCCATGTCAAGTGCACAACTACCTGCATTATCTGCGTCTTCTATATCCTCCTCCATATGGACGTTACTCCGAAACTTAACTCCACTGCCACAATCACCAACACCAACCTCGCTGCCCCTTATAACGCTTTCTATTTCCATTTCCATAATATCAATCTTCTCCAACAAAAACAATTAACCCTTCAAATAAAGAACACCAACGTAATTACTATGACAAAAATTAATACAGAACGCCAACATAATTATAATATAAAATTCAACACAAATCAACCAAACAAGTTTTCACAGCACACATTCAACCCAACACAGAAATATAACCAACCGACACAAATCAACCAACCAATTGAACAACCAACACAACCAATTTTCACATAACCTCACAAATCAACACAGGGATTTTTTTTAAAACATACGAAGACGACACGTTGTTTTTAAAAAGTAAAAAATTACATTTTAAACAAAATCCTCGGGCCATTTCCGTCAACCTCAACCCCATTTTAACAGAGGAAAAAGTCCTTAAAATCCAATTACATTCAAAATTATTCCGATTGCGGTCGAGATTATGAGCTCAATTTCATGAATTGTGGGCGCATGACAACAACAGAACAAAACTCACAACTGCAACATGCGACGCTTAAATAGATCGGAAAAATACCTCGTAATTCGAAAATGACCGTGTGGTGTTCAACTGGGTCTGTTTACTGGGTCTGGAAGCTGTACAAAACGGCGATGTATGAAAAACAGAAAAGTACCTGCTAGTTCTCTGAACAAGCTTCTGGGTATGGAAGCTGTGAATATTTTCCCGCCAAAACGTCAAGAAGGTAACGCCATCCAACTAATTGACGGAAGGATGTCCCTCACTCAGCAATACTCCAGGTACAGTCAGCAACTTGACACATAGACGAATCCAACTCAGCAACTTAGGAAGTGGAAAACTTCCACTTAATTTCCGAAATGCCACTGTGAGTAACAAACTTGTTACTCACAATGAGTAACAGGGATTTAGCGTTAAATATCAAGAGGTTCTGGGCCTTCCCAACTTTGGAGAATATAACTTCTACCATATCATGCGATCAACTGAATAGGCAAACTCACTATTTAATGATTCCGACTTTGGAGAATACGTCTACCTCACGACACTTTAGTCTGAAAGATTAGAACATAATCACAGCCAAATAAAAAATGATACTTATTTTCAGCACAACAATGACAAAATGAAAAACAAAGAGCATCAACTCAGGAAAACACCATTATCTTAAGATGGGTTGTAGAAGTCTTGGTACGGTAGCTTCCACTTCGTGGCTCTTATCAAATATAAAATTCAATGGCTTTAATTTTTTTATTTTTTTTCTTTTTGAAAGGAAGAGCAACTTAATCATTCAAAATAAGGGAATTCATGAGTACAAAAGGGGAGACATCCCTAGGGACACTCTTCTCCCAGACTTGCTCTACACTGACAGGAATAAATTTTGCTAGATTATGTGCAACTTCGTTAACTTCTCGACACAAATGAGACCAGCGGACTTGCTCAAAGTTAGTGCTCAAATTCATAGCATCACAAAGCACAGCGTCCAAATCAGTCAAAAATGCTGCACCCTTGGACAGTCTATTGGTGACCACTTGACAGACAGATTCGATAATTACTTTGTCAAGGCTATAAGCTCTACCCAATTTCAAAGCCATCACAATTACTTTGTCAATGTTGGTTACTAGTGTCATATTATTAGTAACTGGCATTATATTAGACGATTACTATTATTGTTTTAGTAACTAGCATAACTTACGTTAGTTACTAATAGGGCGTTACGAATAGCATTTTTTCTACTAATGTAAGTTTTGAAATGCTCTTATTTTGTAACTATTTTATTTTAATAAATATTAAGTAATGTTTATACTTTGTGCTTGGTATTTGCAGAGTTAGACATACACAATGCTTTATATTTATGCTTAAAGAGTCATAATTTGGTTGGTTTCAAACGCTATCAACAACCCAAATTAGGGGGGCATTTGTTACACCCAAAAATTAGATTTTTGACTTTTTAATTGACTCTCTTGACTTTGACTAAGTTGAGAAATCCTAGAGTCAGGGTCTTTGGGCTAGTTTGATTAAAACATAACAGCCACTGGACTGTTATCACACTAAGGCCCAATAATAGATAGGCCGGATTAGAAAGCTAATGGATGATTTTAATTTTCAAAGTAGTGTTGGCACCAAGAAGCATAATCGTACAACAATTATGGGAGTCAGCCATAACCGCTCCATTTTGCATATAAATAGAAGTGCATGGACAGAAAGAAAGACATCAATCAACAAATAACTAACCACAAGCATTCATTTCTTTTAAGTTTTTTCTTAGCTTTCGTAGTAACCCTTGGCTTAGTAGCCAAGCGATAGTGTAGTTTATCACATAGCATGTATTAAAAATTGTTCGTCTTTTCCAATTGCATAACCATGGAGGTAACTTCTCCTTTAACTTGCACAATTATAGACCTGACTTTATCCTCTAATTAATGGAATACATTTGTATCTTTTGTCATATGTTTATCTACTCGTTTCTTTGAGCAACCTCACTTGTTTTACTTCTTTTACTTCCGTATTTTTTATTTTACGTTAGCAAGGTTATCAATCTTTAAAACCGGTAACTCAAGGGGCATCCCCCTAATATTCTAGAACAAGATAGAGTATTTAACTTGTTAGTAAAGAGCAATACTTACCTCAACAACTTTCTACATTTCATGTTTTTTAAGCATGATATATTGAAGTTTTTAACAAAAAAAAATAGTGAGAAGGGGTTTGTGTATGAAGGAATTTATATTTTGAAGTGATAGTAAAAAAGGAAATTCCAAATTTATCACCTATAAAACGTTGGTCTCTTTATATATGACATAAATAAGTGATTGGAAGCAATGTTGGTTAATAATGTTTAGGACTACATCTTTTACTCCCTAAGCACTCCTTTCTAAAATAGCGGTACGTATGTAGGTAGTACATTTTTTGCGAAAAATTAATAAACAATTACATATGTCGTCGTGATATAATTTAGAAAGTCAATACGGTTTATATATATATATATGTGTGAAACAATCTTTTATTTCCAATTTAGTGGTGATCTTTTCATAAAATCTTACCTAGTAATAAAAATCTCATTTGATCACATTTACATTATTGCATGGATCAAAATAGATTATCTAATATGAACATATCAAACATAATCATATATTTCCTTAGAATTTGTGATATACACACGATATTAGATACAATGTAAGTGATTAAGGTTTATTTTTCCTTCCATACAAGAGAGATATCTTGCCAATCATATGACTTTATGTACTGGCCTAAATATGGCTGGTCTTCTATAAATTATGGAGCATATTATTCAAAGATAATAGTTAAAACCCTTGGTTCTTTTTCCTCTCTTACAAACAAGGTTTGTTTTTTTTTTTTAAAAAAAAAAAAAAAAATCAAATATGGTGAAAAAAAAGAGAATTAAAAGTCCTCAAATCACCTTACCTGATGAAATATATATTGAAATACTCACAAAATTGCCTGTGAAAGCTCTACTAAAAAGTTGTTGCATCTGCAAGTTATGGTACTCTCTCATACATAACACAAATTTTCCTTCAACCTATTTGACAAATAACAAAAACAATAAAAATCAATCTCACCTACTAGTCTTAGAGCCACCCAAGAAGTGTATAAATTCTCATCAATTGTGCACAATAAGAAATATAGAAAAATTTAGAAAAATATCTAAATTTGAAATAGACACTACTTGGTATGATCGTTATAAAGTCGCGGGCTACATTAATGGGTTGTTGTGCATGAAGGAGTATATATCGAAGAATAAACTTTACAATATTTTGTTGTGGAACCCTTCAATCAAGAAAGCCTTTGTGCTCCCTCCTACCTTTGGGTCATTTGAAGATCAAAGGTTTGTTGTTGATTGTGCTTTTGGTTTTGACCAAGTTATAAATGATTACAAGGTTGTAGTAAGTTTTTATAAAAGAAGTGACATTAATATTCCAAAAATAGTTGAAATTTTTACTCTTAGCACTTGCACTTGGAAGAATGTCAAAAAATTTGACGGGCCATATTATTGGGTTCAAGGTGGTCCAAAGATTTTTCTTAATGGTAAAATATATTGGTTAGGGATTGACATCCAAAAAGCTACTCCAAATGGTATAATTTCTCATTTTGTATCATTTAATGTGCGTAATGAGACATTAAAATATGTTAAGTTGCCGAATTGTGAGCTACCTAATGCATTGGGCCATGAAAGGGATGTTGAAAGGTTTCCCATTAATTTGGCTCAATCGATTTCACTTATGGAAGTTTTTAATACTCATTCTCAAATATGGGTCATGGAAGGGGTAGAAAACATGGAACAATCATGGACTAAACGACATACAATAAATTTACAATTGCTTCATAAGTGCTTGTATTTCAAGATAGATGGTGAGTTGTTTTTTGCTGGAAATAAAGGAGGGGTGAACTCTTACAACATCTACAACGAAGAAACCAAGGTTCTTGTGAAGAGTTATAAACTTTCTCCAGTTTTCACTAGCGTTTACATGGAGAGTTTGGCTTTGCATAATGGAGTGCGTCAAGGAACCTTAATTTCTTTTCCATTTCGTTAAATAACATAATTGTAGGATCTTTATCTCATATATATATATATATATATATATATATATATATATATATATATATATATATATATATATATATATATATATATATAACTTGTATTTTTGTTTTCTAATTTAATATATTATTTTTCGTCTTTCATGGTCAAACAACATATTAATATAATTTTTCATATAATTTTCATTGATAAGTGATTTAATATTAAATGTGTTTCAACTAAAATAAAAGATGTATTCAACTTGTTTCTTCCTTTAAATTTTAGATTTTCATCATCCATATCATGAATAATTCATGAAAATTTTTCAGTAGTGACCCTTTATTATTGCACTTACTCTTTAGTAAACAAACAAGAACTTACTTCCTTGTTTTCATAAACTCTACTCATTTTTCATTTTTATCTGTTATTCTAAATTCTACATATTTTACTTCTCTCTATCTCTCTTTTCTTTACAAAAAATGGAGTCACAAGCATAGTTCCCATATCTTATGTTCCTTGGTTTCTATGGCTACATTAACTTAGGGAATTAGATAAAGTAATATTATGGTAACTCTTTACTATTGAGTTTAATTACTAATGGCTTTAATTATCAAAAAACCTAGAAAAAATTACTTTACTAACTATATTCAACTATTGCAAGTTAAGATTTTTCCTTCAAGATGATTCCTAACCTCCATTACTATTGAAGAAACACACTAACCCCTCCCCACAACGACTCTCCAATAATAAAAATTAAAAAATGTATATATATATATTCTTTCCTCTTTAATTTTATTTTTTTATTGCTGTGAATTTTTGCAGCTCCGATCATTTTACGTTGATTTTATAGGAGTTTTGCAAAATATCTATTCTTTTCTAGAAAATCATTAAATTAGATTTGCATTTTGTTGATACTTTTGAATGTTGTTGATTATAATATGATTTATGTGTAATCTTGTGTGAAATATGAAAGGAGTTATTTTGATAGTTTTCTTTAGGGGTGAATCGTATTGATAGCTAGTAGTGTACGGCTGTATTATATATGAAAAAATATAATGGTTGAAAACATGAGCAATTTTCATTATGTGTTACAAAATGAGGTGGGTATTTAGTATATGCTCTCTCGCACTCAATCCTTTCAATTTTAAGACCAGTCAATGCTCGACATACAACATCTCTGTTTTCAAAGAAATCGGGCTTGCTAGCATTCTCTTACTTCTTGACTCTGCGTAGCCGTCTTGTGCAACCATTAAAGTTGTTTTATCCGCGGCCCATTGCATGGGTGGTCAACAAGGTTGCATCGTTAATAGAGGTGGGGAAACATCATGTACATTTTGGAGGAGAATCATAACTATGCAATACTTAACCACATAATTAGTTAGATAATTTACTTAGGTTTTTAATATTATTAATGCCACAAACAAGATAATTTGGTGGTACAAGCTTAGTACCAATAAAGTTATTATTTCTATCAAAGTGAAATTGCAATAATACAAGGTCACCAATGAGAATTCCTGCTATTGTAAAAAAAAAAAAAAAAATTGAGAATTCCAATATACATGTTTCTATAACATGTCATTAGGGGTGGGACTTCGGTCTGGCGGTTCGGTTTGACCTCGGTTTGAGTCGGTTTCGGTTTGGAGCGGTTCGGATTGAAACGGTTTAGTTTAGCTGTCGGATCGGTTTGGTTCGGTTTGGGTTAGTCACGGCTCGGTTTGGTTTCGGTTTATTTCTTTGCGGTTTAAATTCGGTTTTGGTTCATAAGCGGATCGGTTTATAAACGATTCGGATCATGTCGGTTCGGTTTGATACGGGTCAGTTTAGGCGGCGGGTTTACCCGGGTCAATGTCAGTTCGGTTTACAAACGGTTTGGATCAAACCGGTTTGGTTTGAAATGGGTCGGTTTAGGGGCGGGTTTACCTAGGTCAATATCGGTTCGGTTTATAAACGGTGCGAATCATGTCGGTTCAGTTTGAAATGGGCCGGTTTAGTGGAGGGTTTACACAATCCAATTGGTTCGGTTTATGAACGGTTTGGATCATGCCGGTTCGGTTTATAAGCGGTCTGGGTCATGAATTCATGATTGTTTTAAAGATCGCGTCATGACCATGATTTAATGAGTTGATACTTAGAATACGATAAATTGATAATTAAGAATGTACAAGTATTCAATTAGATCGATCAACAAGTGTTTTAAACTTTTAAGTTTTAATAATCATATATGTTTATCGATTATACGGTTTATACCGTTATACGTACATACCATGATACCAACGATTCAACGAGACAATGATAGTATGATACCAATCGTACATTCGTACCATATGATATACTCATATACATAATCCATATACTGATATACATTAACAATGTCGTATTGAATCAATTTCAATTTCCAAACTTTGCATTTCTTATAATTTATAAGTTAAACGAGATTAAATGGATTAGTTATTTACTTATTTAGTTTGTTACTTTATTCAGATTACTAACTCAAACAACTTGATAAGTTAAATGGACGAAATCACAAAATCACTAAAGTGGTGATGAAATCATTATGCAATACTAATGTACAAATAGTCAAATACATAACAATTAAATTGAATGCCCATGAAAAATAATGGTTAGATTTCATTACTTTATTAGTTATTAGTTTATTACTTATTAGTTACTAGTCTTATTAATTAGTTTATTACATTTAAAGTCACAGACTCACATATATAATGATTTATGTTTACCGGTTAAACTTAAAGAGGATGTTCAGTTTAATTATGAGTTTGATCAAGTAGGTCGAACCACAATGACATACATTAGATAATTTAGATTCTATTCACAGTCAACTTGATAGCGTGCGGTATATCAAATCTACTAACAGTATTGCCAAATTAAATGTATATAATAGCAAACTAGCTAGTATGGTCGGATCAATATCAAATTAAATATATTTTTCATGGCAACAGACATGCTACGTACATTGAGAATAGTTTCGGCTATTGTTTAGTTAACGGTTAAACATGAAAGATAACAGCATCTGTACAAAAAATCATTCGTTCATTGTCGAAATCTTTTGTAATGCTCTAAACTAAACTCATTCAGACATCGGACCCAAAAAAACTTACTACATTAGGATGATTTGATGCATGATGTAAAATCTAACCACCCAAAAAAACTTAAAACCCTAAACCCTAAACCGATCATATATATTAATATATAGTTGATTAATTATATACATATAGAGATGATAGATATTGATGTACATTAACTATGTCGTAAACTCGTAATGAATCAATTTCAATTTTGAAACATTTGCGTTTCTTACAATTTATAAGTAATAAATTACTTACAGTAATAATAGATTAATAGTAGTAGTATTTTAATAATAATAATATTAACAAAAAAATATACTAACAATAATAATAATAATAACAATAATAATAAAAATAACAATATTAATAAAAATAACATTATTAATAACAATAATAATAATAAAACCTCAAAAGTCAAAAATTCAAAATAATAATAATAAAAATAAATAATTAACAATAATATTTAATATGTTTAAAAAAATGAACGGTAGTATCAAAAAAAATAATAATAATAAACGGTCAAAAAGACCTCGAAAAGAACAAAACAAAACAAGACCGTTGGATGTATGAAGATGCTAGATCCTTAATTACTACCAAAAAAAAAATTGAAATGAACGGTGAGATATTGAGATTGGAAATGGACGGTTAGATTAGGGGAAGAAGTTTTAACCTAACCTAAACCTAACAACAGCAGTAGCACGCTGCACGCCTCATTTGATCATTTCATCATAATCTAAACGGCTTTCTCTCTCTCCTAACTTGCTCCTCTCCATCTCTCTCTCTCCTAACGCCTCTGAATCTCCTAACTTTCTCACACCTCTGAATCTCCCTCTTCATCATCTCTCTGCATCTGAATCTCCTTATTGGCGAACGGTAAGGTATTTTTTCTGTTTTCTTTTGCAATTTATGTAATTGATTAATTTGTTCTTTTTTATTTGAAGTTTTAATTTTTTTTTTTTTTTTTGTGTAGATCTGTCTTATTCTCTCACGGTATAAGGTAGTTTTTCTTTTTTCTTTTGCGATGTATAATTAATTAATTTGTGCTTTTTTTTGTTTTGAAGATTTAATTTTTTTTTCTTTTTTTGTTTTTGTAGACCTGTCATACTATACTCACGGTATAACCGTATAAGGTATTTTTTCTTTTGCTATGTATAATTAATTAATTTGTGCTTTTTTTTTGAAGTTTTATCTTTTTTTTTCTTATTTTTTTTTGTAGATCTGTCATACTATACTCAGTTACTCACGGTATAACCGTATAAGGTATTTTTTCTTTTGCTATGTATAATTAATTAATTTGTGATTTTTTTTTTGAAGTTTTAATTTTTTTTTTCTTTTTTTTGTAGATCTGTCATACTATACTCACGGTATAAGTGTATAAACGTATAAGGTATTTTTTCTTTTTTCTTTTGCTATGTATAATTAATTAATTTGTGCTTTTTTTTTTGAAGTTTTAATTTTTTTTTTCTTTTTTTTGTAGATCTGTCATATTCTACTCACGGTATAAGGTATTTTTTTATTCTTATTCTAAGTTTCGATCTTTTGTTCATTAATTGTTCTGCAATGTATATTTCGTTATTTTGTGCTTTTTTTTTGTGAAATTTTATTTTTCTGTGTATATGATCATGATGTTGAGTATATGAATTTGATGGGGGTTTTTATGGTTTATACTATATGATACTTGTATAAAAAAAAGCATATATTATAATTCAATGTAACATGTAGTTTTAGTTAGTGTTATGTTGTGTATTTATGTCCCAAATCCCAATTTAATCCAAGAATTGTTTGTGGGAAGTATGATATGAGGATTTTTTTTTTTTTTTCAAATTTAGTTTTTGTGTGTGTGTGTGTGTGTTTTTTTTTTTTGGAAACTAAACTCCAAGTAATGGACTATAAAATAATTGTGCATTTGTGCCTAATGTCATACTTTGTACATTCTGCCCAAGTCCAACATTTATTAAATGGGCCTAGTTTGTCTGAGGCCTCTATTAGTTTGTTACCATTACCTCAGGAAAGTCCAGTGAAATGTATACTTGTCTGATTGGCTTAAAGTTAGTACTTAAAGTTAGTATACTTGTATGTACTTAAAATGTATACTTGTATGATTGGCTTAAAGTTATTACTTAAAATGTACACATATGTCAGTCACATGAGACAATGCATGCTTAATTGCTCACTATTAGTAGAATCTGTCACTTAATTTGGTACTTATAAATGCTGTTTTTTTTTTTTTTGTTTCAGTCATGTCTCGTGAGTATGATGAATTTGACTATGAGAGGCAATCAAATTTTGATATTGTTAGCTCTCAAGCTGCCTCTGTCCCGCTTGATGATGCTAGTAATACCGGCACTATCAATCCTTCTGTTAATAAACGTCAAAGAACCGCAGGTATATGGAAGCATTACACTTTTTTTGTAAAGACGTCCTCCTTATTGGTAAAGAGATTGAAGCCGAAAGTGCTTCATCTGCATAACTGGTATTTGTGTCTCATTGTGGTTTATTTTATCTTGAAAAATCGTTGCCCTTGTCATTTATTTTCAGACTTGCTGGCAGTATTTTTCAAGACTTTTAAAATCGTTGCCCTTGTCATTTATGTTGAGACTTAAATAGTTAAATGTATTTTGGTACTTGCTGGCAGCATTTCTCAAGTTTTTATTAAAACAACCATTGCTCAGAGATGTAAATCTGAGAGCAATTTTAAAAAACAAAAGCTATAATTTTGAAGTTGCTTGAACTTGTTATGAGCTGCTGCCTGCTGGTAGTGCTTTTGCCTTTTGGTTGTTATCTCTGCTGAGTTGTTGCTGTTGTTTCTTATGCTTGCTGTTGTTTTGTTGCTGCTGTTTCTTATGCTTGCTGTTTTAATTTTTCTTGAATCATCGTTGCCCTTGTCATTTATGTTGAGACTTCAATGTATATGTACTTGCTGGCAGCATTTTTCAAGTTTTAAGTTAAAACAACCATTGCTCAGTGATGATACGATAAACGTAAATCTGAGAGCAATTTTGAAAAACAAAAATAAGTTCCTGCTGAGTCCCTTCTGCTTATATTATTCCTTGCTTCTGATAAGTTGCTGATCTGTTATTGCGTGTGCTGGTTCCTGCTTGTTGCTGCTATTTCCTCTACTCTTGGGTGCTGTGCTGCTGCTTCAAGATTCTGCTCCCAAATCACTCACATTCTCACTCCTCCCTTCATCTTATCATGTATCATTTTTTGCAACCCTAAACTTGATGATATTTTAGTTGATAAATCTGAAATCTAATCTGGGTAGTAGTGATAGTAGTTTCATTATGTATTGGTATATGTATTGTGAATTTTAATCAATGAAAATGGTGACTTTTTTTAATTGCTTGTTGATATTACTCTAATTTTAATGCTATTTATCTGCTGGATTTGTGGTAATGTTATGAAATAATTGTGGCTACAGATTTGGGATGCCTCCGTATTTATTAAAATTCTTTTACTTAATATCTGGTTTAATTTAAGAAAAGCTAAAAAAATGTGTTTTATAAACATTTTAGTCCTCCCCTTTACAAAATACTTGTATAAGAAAGTTTTATAAAGTGATAATGTGAATGATTGTACATTTGTACGCCTTATTGACTAGTACAGTAATATTCTAATGCTTATGCCATTTGTGTAACGCAATCTCATACATCTCCAATCTTATGTTACCTTTGAGGCTTTGAGTGTTATTGGATGATCATGAATATCAAGGAACAATGAAGATAATTTGGGTGGACTAGCATTATTACTGGAATGAAAATGATACAATTATACAAATGATATATCTTGTAATTAAAATAAATAAGTAATCTAAAACGATATTAATAATGTCGTTGGCCTAGATCTAGGTGATATAAACCTTTGTATAAACCTAAGCCGTTTGATTAGATCTACATTTATTAACATTAATTGTATTTACTATTTAGTCATTTAGGTTGTAAATAATTCAATTTGAATTAAGCAGTTTGTAATCGGATCAGTCTAAACAGGTTGCGATTCGAAAACAGTTTGATTTTAACGGTTTAACGGGTTATGGCAGTTCAGTTTAGACGGTTAGCGGATTATAACGGTTCGGTTTATACGTGCGGTTTAAACGGTTTCGGTTCATAAACGGGTCGGTTTAAACAGTTAACGGGTTACAAATGGTTCGGTTTAAACGGTTTTTTTTTTCGGTTTAAACGGTTTCGGTTTATAAACGGTTCGGGTCATTAACGGGTTTATAAACCATTCGGTTCGGTTTCGTTTCGGTTCGGATTTGCGCAGTTTGGTTTGTTATTGGTTTACGGTCCGTAACGGGTTGACATTGAGCGGTTCAATTCGGTTTCGGTTTGATATTGAACGGTTCAGTTCGTTTTTCGATTTGTATTTATCGGTTTATAAACGGATCGGTCCGTGATGGTTCGGTTCGGTAACGGGCGGTTTCATGGTTCGGTTTGAAAAGTCCTACCCCTACATGTCATATATATCTTACCACACAATAATTTTATTCTTATTATTATTTCTAAGGATATATTACGACATTTTTGATGATATCATGATATAAAGATAGTGATAATTGTACAAAAACTATACTTCATCGATTAACAAATTTTAGAAAAATAATTACACATGAAATTTTAGAAAAATAATTACCATATTACGTTTTGATAATATAACATAGAAAATCCGTTAAAGATAGTTTTCCTTCCTTATTTAAACCGATGTTATTAGTTCTTATTGATATGAGCATATATTTGTTCAAGAAAAAAATATTTCAAATGCAATATACTTAGATTTGCATTGATATTGACTATTAATTGCTCTTAGGTTACCGTGATGGTGAATTCATGTCGTTTAAATGTTTTGTAAAGATGCTGAGATAAATTTAATATCATTAAAAAAAAAGCAAGAAATTTATTTAAAATCATACAGTGCTACTAAGAAATAAAAATAAAAATAAAAATCAATCAATCAATCAACCTAATAAAATGGAAAAATTTAATAAATTAAAATAGAGAAAATTCAAGTTTTTCTCTATGATAAACACTTGTTTATAGCGAGTGTTTTGATAAACTTGCGACATATTAAGTGGGGGCATATATGTAAAACCCATGTCTATTATGTAGCAACAGTAGTTTATGCCATTATCATCATTTGACAGAGTTTCCAAGAATGATAAATGAATGAAGAAACTAATGACCACCATCTTCAATGGTGAAATCAATGAAGAAGAGAAGCCTCACAAACAAACACAACATCTACCTATAGGGTTAACCATTCCCATATTTATACATTTTTTCGTAGGGTTTTCTTTGATTTTACCGGCGAAGCCACCAGAAGATAGCGATAGTTTTTCCATTAGCACCTTTCTTAGCTCGGTATCCTCTATTGAAATTCTACTCTGATTTCTCCATTAATTCGACTTATGAGCTTTTTCCGATCCATTTATGGCCATGTGAGCAGAGGACAGAGAAAGAAACAATTACAATTTCCACTGAATTTGCTTATGAGCTTCCTTCATTGTGGAGGGGAGCAGAGAGAAAACTCAAAAATGGTGGCCAGGGGAGGGAGGAGAGAGAAAGCTGAGAGGAAGAGGAAAGTAATGATAACGGCGTATTCACAACCTGAAACTATTCTGAAACTCTAATTTTTTATTTTACTTTTTTTAAATTCTTTTTTATGAGGTTGCACATAGAGATAAACACGTTAGAAGATAAATGGGGGTTGCCTCATTAAAATTAATATCCTTTTACTATCATTTATTTAACTTCAAGGAATAATGAAAAAAACAAAAACTCTTGGGTGAACCTGGTCCACAATAAATTTATTGTGGACCTTATGATATCACGTGTCATTGTCAGAACAAAATAGCCCAGTGAACCTACCCAGCCCAATTCTAACAAAGTCCTTATAAAAGTATAAAACCCCAGTCATCTATCATTTAAATTAAAACAAAAGCCTCAATTTTATTCTCTCTCCTCTGCGTTGAATATCATCGACCCGAAATCACGAAGCAAATTCATCAATTGAAGAACGAAATTCTACTGCAATAGATCTCAACAAATCAATTTATGAATTGTAATCAAACACAAATAACAATGAAGGTATCAATTACTCTTTATTTTGATTTAATTCTGCCAAAAATTCGATTAACTATCATGAATAAAAACTGATTATGTTCTTAATTTGATTTAATTCTGCCCAAATTATCAGATTTTTGTCTACTTAGGGCTTTTAATTTTTCTTAAACAAGAATCGATTGGAATTTTCTTGATCAATATTGGGTTCGTTAGCTTATAATTTGAGGTCTTAATGATTGATGATGGTGTTAGTTCTGGTAATTTTATGTAGTTTCAAGGATGGAGAATTACATAATTTACATTGTGAGTAGAATTTTGATTTGTGTTAAGTTATTTTTCTGATTTATTAATTATGCAGTGTTAGTAGTGAAGTTTGATGTGGAAAAGATAATAAAAAAAATTGGGGGTTTTATGGTTTTCGGCTAGTTGAAGGCCTGTGAAATGGAAGTATAGACTTTGGGAGGAGGCTAACAACATGCTTAAATAAAGGTCACTATGTCTATTATGACATTAGTGTAGTAGAAAGGTTGCTATATTATTTAAGGGTCACTGTATATAGCTAGGTGATTGAGTTTCTGCTCTATATAGCTGCCTTCAATGCCAACTAACTCTCATAGGCTTAGGCTTATTGTTTGGTACTATCCCTCTTTTGCTTTTGATAAAACTAATTTGTTCTAAAGACATTAATGCCTTTATAATAGAGTATTGTAGGATTTGGAGAATCATATATAGTTGAAAACTCTATAAGCCTATTAGCTCAATTGGTCGAGCACTGTGTATATTTTTATTGGCACAGAGGATGTAGGTTCAAGTCCTATACAGGCTAATAAGATTTAGACATTTAGTGACCCTTTTTAAAAAATAGGTTACTTTTTCACAGATGTTATGACCCTTATATGAATATAGTGACTTTTGTTTTTTTACATGTAGTAACCCCTATTTGAATATAGTTGACTTTTTTTTTACATGTAGTAACTCCTATTTAAATATAGTGACTTTTTTTAAATGTAGTAACCCTTATTTGAATATAGCGACCTTTATTTACATGTAGTAACCCCGATTTTAGTATTGTGACCCTTTTTTTTACATGTAGTAACCCCTACTTGAATATAGTGACCTTTTTTTATATGTAGCCTTATTTAAATACAGTGATCTTTTTTTAACATGTAGTAACCCCTATTTGAATATAGTGACCTTTATCATACTACAATATAGGATAACAATGCAAGCTAAGTAGTTATTTATGCACTTTCTGCTAACAAACTACTACATACAATGACCAAAACACAACTCATCAATGATAGCAACACACAAGCATTGTTGTAGCTTAGGCTATGTGGGACTTGAACCCACACCATGTACATTATTGTACATTGCTCTACCCTTTGAGCTAATAGCTTATATATATATATATATATGGACAATCCTTCTATCTGTCCCTTTGTTGCTTAAACCAAATATTGAAATAAAAGAACATCTTGTTGA